GCAAGCCCAGCCCTTGAAAGTGTAAGGAAGGAGAATCTTGAATTTGAGGCCAGCCTGGGCTACACAGTGAGTTCAGGGCTGGCCTGGACTACAGAGCAAGATCCTGTCTCAAAAACAAACAAACAAACAAAAATGAGAATAAGCCATGCAGGGGAGTGTGCACTTGTAATCCCACCATTCAGAGGCGGAGGCAGGAAGATCACTGTGCGTTCAAGGCCAGCCTAAATGATTTAGTGAACCCCTGTCTCAAAACAAAACAAAAAAGCAGCAGCAGCAGCAGCAGCAGCAGCAGCAGCAGCAGCAGCAGCAGCAGAAGAAGAAGAAGAAGAAGAAGAAGAAGAAGAAGAAGAAGAAGAAGAAGAAGAAAGAAAAAGGTCAAAAAAATAATTTTAAAAATAAAAACTGTGGGACACTAAAAATCAAGTTGAATATGTGACTTTCTCAAAATGCTAGAAATGAGAACTACCATATGTTCTACCTATACCACTCCTTGGTACACACTCGAGGTGAAGTCAGCATACTGCAGCCATCCCTGAATATCCCCATATACTGTGGTATCATTCACAATAGAGAACCAGCCTGGGTGCCCATAAAAGGTGGTTTACATTCATAATGGAGTGCGATTCATCCATAAAAAGCAAAATAACATCAACTCAGGAAAATGAATGAAACTGGAGACCATCATTTAAGCAAAGTACGGCTGAGAAAGGTAAAAATCGTATGTTTTCCCTACTACTGTGTATGCGGTGGGGACATGGAAGGACAGAGACTATTGGACAACAGAAAGCGTTTGGGGGAGGGGTGAAGGGAAGACAAAGGATGGAGATGATGAAATTATTATGTTATATGAATGTGTGAAAATTTCACAAAAAAACTCAATATTTTGTAATATTAATATGCACTAAAATATTTTGAGAAAACAAAATTTAAAAGTAGAAAAATAAAGCATGTTTAAATTAATGCTATTGGGGATGGGGATTTAGCTCAGCGGCAAAGCACCTGCCTGGCAAGCGCAAGGTCGTGAGTTCAGTTCCTGGTACCGGAGAAAAACCAAAAAAAAAGAATTAATGCTATCAACCCCTAAGGGTAAAATTGACTTTTTTAAAAAAAATTTTTTGGTTTTTTTCCGGTATCGGGGATCAAACTTACGACCTCGCGCTTGCCGGGCAGGTGCTGTGCTGCTGAGCTAAATCCCCAGCCCCAAGGTAAAATTGACATACAAGGACTTATATACTACATATACTTTTCTGGTCTGTTTTAGATTTTGTTATATAACTACAAATTTAGTTCATACGGTTAAAGGTGGCAAATTAGTGGTTACTTCAATTTGTCATTTTCTAAGCTGTGGTTGTTGCTCTTGTTATTGCTGATGGTACCACTTTAGCAAAAAGTGATATAGTTGTTCTAAACAGCTATCGTGGTATTCCAAGACTGAGATTAACTAAGGACCATAGAAAATACGTGGCACAGTGCCAAAGAACGAAAGGCTGGACCACACAGGCAGCAACTTCTCACCCCCAATAAACTGAAGAGGGACGATCTTGCAACAGACTCAAAACCCAAAAACCAGTTACACCCCGAAGATACCTCAGAGAAGTAGTCATTTCCTAAAGGTTCTAAATATTAGCAATAAAGCAACGCACCACAGGTAATTTACAAGCATCACCCCAGGAATTAAGCTAAAAAAAGAAAAGAAAATGAGAAGACACTTAATCAAGATGCAGTCCCAGACATCCAGTTCACCAAAGGCAGAACCACGGGGCAACAAGGTGGGACAATCTGAGAGCCACCCACCTGGCCTCTCTGAAGTAGTAACAACAAAGCAATTAAATGAGGCTCTAGAAAAAAATCAAATTAGAAACAATTTCCCAGATTACTACAGAGATAGTGGTACCCACAATAAAAGCCATGCTTAATGACTCTAGAGCAGATACAGACAGAAATATAGAGGGCTTTAAGAAAATTATAGAAGCCATGAATGCTCAGCATAGGAAAGAAATGGAATCTGTAAGGCAGATTCAAACAGATATCCAGGGGAATAAAAATTCCATTGAAAGTATCCGTAGCAGATTAAGCCGATGTGAGGATGAGATCTCAGATATAGAAGAGAGGCTTGCGGTTAGCGATCATGAAAAGAAAGATTCCTTAAAAATAGCACGGGAGGGCCGGTGATATAGCTCAGTGGCTCAGCACCTGCATGGTAAGCACAAGGTCGTGAGTTTGATTCCCGGTACCAAAAACAAACAAACAAAAAAAATAGCAAGGGAACATGAGAAATCAATAGAGCAGCTGCTAGATAAGGCAAAGAAGAATAATTTAACACTGATTGCAGTCAATGAAAAAGCAGGAGATAGGGCAAATGATATTTAAAAAAAAAAAACTGTTCACAAATGTCAAGGCAGGGCTCTGGGGATTTAGCTCAGCGGCACAGCACCTGCCTGGCAAGCGCAAGGTTGGGAGTTCGATTCCTGGTACCAGAAAAACAAAACAAAACAAAACAAAACAAAACAAAAAATGTCAAGGCTGAAAACTTCCCAGTAGGAAAAAAGAATTTGACATACAGGGAAGTGAGGCATATACAACTCAAATTAGCCATGATAAAAAAAATCTATAGCCAGTTATATCATAATCAAGATTCCAGAAATTCAACAGCAGAACAGAATCTTTTT